TGAGTTAGAAAAGAAGGAAGGAGAGACGGGACGGAGGAATGAAACAAGGAATGAAGGGAGGGAGGGAGAAGGAAGGAAGGGAAGAAGGAGAGGGAGGGAGGGAAGGAAGGAAGGAAGGGAAGAAGGAGAGGGAGGGAGGGAAGGAAGGGAGGGGAGGGAGGGAGGGAGGGAGGGAGAGAGAGAGGGAAGGAAGGAAGGAAGGAAGGAAGGAAGGAAGGAAGCAGAGAGAGAGGGAGGGAGATAAAATCAAGGAGAAAGGGTGGGAAGGAGGGGAGAAGGAAGGGAGGGAAGCAACAGAATGGAATCAAACTAGAGTATGGAAAGCCGCAAACTGCAGGGAAGTGGGGGGGGTGTGGGTGTGTGTGTAAATCTCTTCTCTTTCTGTTCCTGGACTTTGTTCAGGCAAAAACCCCTAGAAAAGTCCCCCCCCTCCACACACACCCAGGGCTTCGTCTGACCTTCTCGGGACTTGCGTTCGAGGGCCAGCTTGGCCATGGAGGGCGCCTTGTAGAGGAAGCCATTGTGGGCCACGGAGAGCGAGATGACCGAGTAGCACTGCTCAGCCTGGGGGCCAGCGTCCAGCTGGGGGGTCTCTGCAAAGACAAGACATAGCAAAAGAGGGGCCGGTGGAGACCGGGCGGGAGGCAGGTCACGTTAAGACTTGTGGACTTCAACTCCCAGAATTCCCCAGCCAGCATCCAAGGCAGGGGTCCCCAAGCTGGGCCACTTTTAACACTTAATAATAATAATAATAATAATAATAATAATAATAATAATAATAATAATAAAGTTGGAAGGGGACCTTGGAGGTCATCTAGTCCAACCCCCTGCTCAGGCAGGAAACCCTATACCATTTTGGACAAATGTCTATCCAGTCTCTTCTTAAAAACTTCCAGTGTTGGAGCATTCACCGCTTCTGGAGGGAGGTGGTTCCATTTGTGGACTTCAACTCCCAGAATTCCCCAGCCAGCATGGATGGAGAGAGGGAGTGATGGGATGGATGGGATGGGATGGGAAGGGAGGGAGGGAGGGAAAGGAGGAAAGAAGGAAAAGAAGTGAGGGAGGAAAGAAGGAAGGAGAGAAGGGACGAAACAAGGAACGAAGGGAGGGAGGGAAAGGAGGAAGGAAGGAAAAGGAGTGAGGGAGGAAAGAAGGAAGCAAGGAGAACTGACGGAGGGATGAAACAAGGAACGAAGGGAGGGAGGGAGGGAAAGGAGGAAGGAAGGGAAAGAAGTGAGGGAAGGAGGAAAGAAGGAAGGAAGGAGAAGAGACGGAGGGACGAAACAAGGAACGGAGGGAGGGAGGGAGGGAAAGGAGGAAGGAAAGAAAAGAAGTGAGAGAGGGAGGAAAGAAGGAAGGAAGGAGAGAAGAGACGGAGGGATGAAACAAGGACCGGAGGGAGGGAGGGAAAGGAGGAAGGAAGGAAGGGAAAGAAGTGAGGGAGGGAGGAAAGCATGGCTGGCTGGGGAATTCTGGGAGTTGAAGTCCACATATCTTAAAGGGGTCCAGCTTGGAGACCCCTGCCTCAGATGATGAGACGCAGGGTCAGACAGCTTCCCAGTCCAGGGATGGCTGTTCCTGCTTTTATATCTTTTCTAAGACCGGGAAGCCAAATTCAACATCCCAAGGGCTGGGAGGGGGGCGGCAGGGGGGGGGACAATGAAAACCAGATGTTCTACTAACAAAACACCAGCCAGGTTCCCCTCCTTCAAAAGCACGTCTGGTTTTTCAGTCTGTCTCTCCGATCAACGGTTGCCGCCCTTCTGTTTGGGAGGGAGATTTGGACCCCTTAATCCTTCAAATGTCCCTGGAAACAAAAGGGGTGGGGTGGGGGGCTTTTGAACGGGCCAAGGGATGGCGGGGAGGGGGTCTCCTGCAGGAACTGGTGTTTTAATGCTTTTTATTGTTTTATAACAGCTTTTACTAGAATAGAATAGAATAGAATAGAATAGAATAGAATAGAATAGAATAGAATAGAATAGAATAGAATAGAATAGAATAGAATAACATAGAATAGAACAGAACACAATAGAAATATAGAATAGAATAATGATAGAATAGAATAGAATAGAATAGAATAGAATAGAATAGAATAGAATAGAATAGAATGGAATGGAATGGAATGGAATGGAATGGAACAGAATAGAAATATAGAATAGAATAATGATAGAATAGAATAGAATAGAATAGAATAGAATAGAATAGAATAGAATGGAATGGAACGGAACAGAATAGAAATATAGAATAGAATAGAATAGAATAGAATAGAATAGAATAACATAGAATAACATAGAATAACATAGAATAGAACAGAACAGAATAGAAATATAGAATAGAATAATGATAGAATAGAATAGAATAGAATAGAATAGAATAACATAGAATAGAACAGAACAGAATAGAAATATAGACTAGAATAATGATAGAATAGAATAGAATAGAATAGAATAGAATAGAATAGAATAGAATAGAATAGAATAGAATAGAACTGGAAGGGACCTTGGAGATCTTCTAGTCCAGCCCCCCTGCTGAAGCAGGAGAATTTATATCATCTCACCTATTTTTACTATTTTTATTGAGATTTTAATTGTAATGAATGCTTTGAATTGTGAGTGGCCCAGAGCTGTTTGCTGAGATGACCGGACATAGGAATCAAGTCAAATCAAATCAAATCAAATCAATCAATCAATCAATCAACCACCAACAAACTGAGGCCAGCCAGGAGTTTTCCGGCTTCTGCAGGGATTCAAATTCCTGCTTTTGACCTGAAGGGGTTTAAGGAGGAGCTGAGAAGCTGGGGGTTGCCTGTTCTTTGGGGGGGGGTCTCCTGCTTCATAAGGACCCCAACCCTTTCCTTGTCACACCTCTGCACAAATTTCTTAACTTCCTGGTGGACCTCATTCCTTGCCAGGAAGCTGAAGGAACCAGCTGTTGCATTTGAGTGACTCACAAAATACCCCACAACAATCCATCATTCACTGCTGGAAATTCCTCCTGGATTTGCCAGGAAAGGCCTTTACACACCCTGCATTCTTTCCTTTCCACGTTTCTGCGGTCAGAGATCCATGCAGGAAAGAAGAGAACATGTCAGTTCTTGGAAAGGAGAGATAAGGATGGTCTCCAATCCTGCTGGGCTCCAGCAACAGCGAAGTGATTTTACTCTGGGTTGGTTTTTTTTTCCTGAGCATGTTTTTCAAATTCACAGGCTGGTTTATAGCCTTAGGATCTTCTGGTGGTCTCTCATCCATCCATCCATCCATCCATCCATCCATCCATCCATCCATCCATCCATCCATCCATAATGAATCAATCAGAATAGAGCTGGAAGGGACCTTGGAGGTCTTCTAGTCCAACCCCTTTTCAAGCAGGGGATCCTATAGGGTTTCCTGCCTGAGCAGGGGGTTGGACTAGATGACCTCCAAGGTCCCTTCCAACTTTATTATTATTATTACTATTATTATTATTATTATTATTATTATTATTATTATTATTATTATTATTATTATTATTATTATTACTATTATTATTATTATCCTCAATTTATAACACTTCGTTGAGCAACCGTTCCAAGTTACGACAGCACTGAAAAAAGCGATGGCCGTTGCAGTCTCCCCACAGTCAGGGGATCCAAATTTGGACGCTCGGCCACCAGCGTCTATTTCTGATGGCTGCAGTATCCCAGGTCAGGTGGAGGCCGTTTCGGACCTTCCCAGCCGGCTTCCAACAGGCGACGTCAATGGGGGAAGCCGGATCTGCTTAACAACTGTGGGATTCACTTAACCAAGTGAATGATTGGCTTAAAAGCCACGGCACTTGGGCGCAACTCAGCTAACAACCACTTTGCTCTGCCCAGGATATTCCGATCTCAGTTGTCCCAAGAGTCATTGGCTGAGACGGGCGGTCGTAGAAATTGAATGAATCAATGAATCGGTCAAGGTCATGAGTTAACAGCTAACCAGCTTATGTAATGTTAAGATGTAATGATGGGAATGACTCAGCAGGGTCTGTGTCTCTTTAAGAGCCTTTGTTTAAAAGGGAAGGCTCTGCAGATGTGTTCTCTCTCTTCCATTTTCCTGCTGTAACTGTGGTTTGTTGGATCCTGCTGCATTAGCATGAGTATGTATGTTGATATTGTAGATAATGTAAGATAAACCACCATTTAATATAGACCACTGTTTACTGTGGTTACTCCTGGATTATCTTGCGCAATAAGACTGTGCACGCTCTGATAGAATCAATGAATGAATCAATGAATGAATGAATCAATCAATCAATCTATCAATGAATTAATCAATGAATCAATCAATAAATGAATCAATGAATCAATCAGTGAATCATGAATCAATCAATGAATGAATTAATAAATGAATTAATAAATGAATGAATCAATGAATGAATCAATGAATCAATCAATGAATCAATCAAAGAATCATTCGATCAATGAATCAATTGATCGATGCATCAATAAATCAATGAATGAACTGTGGTCATAAGTCAAGGACTAATTGTAAAGTCGCTCTTCGATGTCCATTCTGTTTCAACAGCACCTGTTTTGAGGTGGGCCCTTGCCTTCTTTTGCACTTACAAGCTGGTGCCCCTACTCACCCCTCACCCCTTCCCTCACTGCTTAAAAGTGGGAGGGCATCTTCTCCAGATTCCTGCCTGCCCCACAACAAACAGACCGTGTTGAACGTTGAGGACTAGCTGTATTTTTGTTTGAGAAAAGATTATGGATGGTTTTTATATGGCTGAATATTGGGGGTTTTTTAAACTTGTTTTTATTGGATGGTTGTTTTCACCAGATGGGAGGCACTGAGCATCCCCTGTACGAGATGGGTGGCCGTGCCAATAATCTGGAGCGCCACCTGAACCCCAGCGGCATTGAGAGAATCACCCCGTTGGTCAACGGCAAAGAGCAACTTTGCTCAGAAGAGCGGTGATGCTGTTAAGACCATCAAACAACCACACCTTCCTATCCCAGGTCCTTGAGAAGGACTGGACAAATGGACACAAACGCCAAATCCAGGCTGACTCTGCGATGAACCATAATAATAACAACGCTGGGCGTTGACAAAATCCCCATCGGTCAATTGCAGAAGGCAGCTTGACTCGGAACGGCTGACATCCTGTGACGAGACCTTTAATACCGTCAAACACCCAGACCTGCCCATCCCAGGGTCCTTGGGAAGGAATCGGTGGGTGTATACAAATATTCAAATCTAGTCCGAACATCTGGCTGACTCTGCGACAAACCATAATAACAACCCTGGGCCTTGACAAAATCCCCATCGGTCAATTGCAGAAGGCAGCTTGATTTAGAACGGCTGACATCCTGACGAGACCATTAATACCATCAAACATCCAGACCTGCCTATCAAATCGAGTCCAAACATCTGGCTGACTGCGCAAACCGCCCTCATGATAACAGACCCCCTGGGTGCAATCCCCCAAACATCTGGAGCAGCCCTCGAAACCCATCGGCATTGACAAATTCACCACCGGTCAATGGCAAGAGGCCGTTTGACTCACTGGGAAGAGCTGACCCCCCTGCTCTAAAACCTTAAACCCCATCAATCACCCACATCTGCCCATCCCAGGGAGGTGGGCCAAAATGCCAAATCCACTCTGAACATCTGGCTGGCTGCGCAATCGGCCACGGCAACGTGCAGAAGGTCTCAGGACTGGCTCGGCTCTTCTCCCCTGCTCCTTGCCTTCCTCTTCGGCTAAGACGGAGGCCCTGAAAGGACCCCCTCCCCAAAACAACAGGCCAAAAAAACACCCCACTCCTTGAGCACGGAAAAGCCCACCGACCCACCCCAACCCCCTTGGGGCCCAACCGGCCATCCAGGGGTCAAGAAGACCCCGTAGTCCATCGGCTGGACGTGGTTCCAAGTCTCTGCCTGCCCATCAAGGAGGGGTATTTGCCCCCTCCTACTTCCAGCCCCCCTTCTTTCCCATTTGCAGCCCCCTCCCCTTACCGGAGGTCTTGTTCTGCATCAGGAACTCCATCTGCAGCCTCTGTCCAGCTTGCTCTGCCAGGGCAACCGGAGTGGGATAATCCGGGTCTCCGGTGTAGCAATTGGCTTCGGCCCCACAGAAGAGTAGGGAGAGGCTCTCGGCCAGGTCACTGGTGGTCACTGCTGTGCAGAGGGCCTGGGGGGGGAGGACAGGGGGGGGGGACAGGGAGGGGAG